GACCCTGGAGCCCCTTCTCAGGGAAATTAGGAATAATCGGGCAATTAAAGGACTTAAAGTACGAAGGCAGGAATTTAAAATACAGGCATTCGCGGATGATCTCGTCTTCATTCTAGAAGACCCTCAGGAGTCGGGCCCAGAGTTAATAGAGATGATGGAAGAATATGGTAGAGAGGCGGGATTAAAAATGAATAAGGACCAAACTAAGATATTGGTCAAAAATATTCCAAAAATGCAGAAGGACATATTAGAATCTATTAGAATATCCAATTTGGATATCCAATTTGTAAATAAAATTAAATATTTAGGAATTTGGCTAATAGCCCAATGCTCTACAATTGTAAGAGACATGGAGAAGTGGAAAAATTTACAGTTGTCTCAGCAACAGAAGCGATGACATATCCAACAACTCTTAAACAGGATAACATTTATAGATATAAAAAGCTTGTGGATGTCCAAGGGATATTAAGATCTAGGGAAGATTTGGCTGATAAAGGAATTAGGTTAGATTGGTGGACCTATACTACAGTTCAATCTCGCTACAGGAAGGATAGAGATAATTACGGGATATATGTGATGGAGCAGAGTTTTGATAAAATATTAATGGGAGAGGATCATAAATACATAACTAAAATGTATGCACAATTGCTTGAACGAATGTTAGGAGAAGAGGTTGTAAAAGACACTATGATTGCCGGGGGAGGAATTTTGGGTACTCGATTCCTTTAGAAAAATGGCAACAAATGTGGGGGGGAAATATTAAAATGACTACGGCAACGTCTTTCAAGGAAAATACATATAAAATGTTGTATAGGTGGCATCTCCCACCAGCAAGAATTGCTAAAATGTTTCCGGGTGCATCAGAGTTATGTTGGAAATGTGGGGAAACCAGAGGTATGTATTTCCATCAATGGTGGACTTGTATAATGGCAAAGAGGCATTGGAGAAGGATTAGGAATTGGATTAAGGAAATGACTAATGTGGACCTCCCAATGGAAACCTGAGATATATTTACTAGGTATTCGCCCAGAGGGGCTAAGTAAGAAAAAATGGTATCTCACTCTACATATTTTAGTCGCAGCTAGAATAGTGTTCACCCAACAATGGAAAGAAAAAGAGATACTGGCCAGTGTCCAAATTATAAATAAAGTATTAGAGTGCGCTGAAGCGGACAGAATGACGTATAGGTTGAAAGAAAAAGAGGATTCTGAATTTTTTCAAAGTTGGGACAGTTGGTACCGGTGGTTGAATAAAAGGATTGAGATGAAGTGAGGGCCTAAGTCAATATGAGGAGAGATATACTTACCTAGATTGAAAGATAATTGTTTGAAAACCATATTTGGGGATTATTTACTTTATTCTGTGTTGTGGGCACAATTATTTATTAATGAGGGCAGGAATATTATCTGCCGGGATGGATGTGTTTGTCTAACTTGTCTAGTGTTATGAATGGGGGAGGGAGGGAGGGGAATGTATGGTTTTTGTTGTTATGTATAATCAATGTTTTTGTCTTATGTTGATTTTAACTTGGAAAATTTAATAAAATTTATTTTAAAAAAAACAAGAGAGGCTACTAGTATAGAATAGAACTGAATGGGACCTTGGAGGTCTTCTAGTCCAGCCCCCTGCTCATGCAGAACCTATACCATCTCAGACAAGTGACTGTCCAGTCTCTTCTTAAAAACTTCCAGTGATGAAGCACCTACAACATCTGAAGGCAAGCTGTTCCACTGGTTAATTGTCCTCACTGTTTCTCCTTAATTCCAGGTTGCTTCTCTCTTTGATTAGTTTCCAACCATTGTTTCTTGTCCTGCCATCAGGTGCTTTGGAGAATAATTTGACCCCCTTTTCTTTGTGGCAGCCCCTCAAATACTGGAACACTGCTAATTAGGTCACCCCTAATTCTTCTTTTCTTCAGACTAGTCAGGCCATTCTTCATATGGTTTAGTCTCCAGGCCTTTGATCATCTTAGTTGCTCTTCTCTGAACATTTTTCAAAGTTTCAGCATCTTTTTTATAGTATGGTGACCAAAATTGGTTGCAGTATTCCAGGTGTGGTCTTACTAGAGTTTTGTAAAGTAGCACTAGTACTTCATGTGAGCTTGATTCTATGCCTCTGTATATACAACCCAGGATTGTATTAGCTTTTTTGGCTGCTGCTGCACACTGCTGGCTCATATTCAACTGATCATCCACTAGGACTCCGTCTCACACCTTATAGGGTTATTCATCCAAATAGCATGCAAAGTTTTTACAGTGTACAATAGTTATAAAATAATATCATGTGATGTTAAAGCTGTGCTTCATGCACAAAGTCAAATTACAAAATCTTAAAATTGGGCACAGAATGATGCTCCTTCAACTGGCTCTATCCTTTATGCAATACAGATATGTGTCCAAGTCCGCCACTACCTGGATAATGCAAGTAGACCTGAAGGGTGACCGTGGTTTCATTCATAAGAGTTTGAGTAAAGTCTTCGTGGAAGGCAAAATTCTGTTTTCCTCAAAATATCCTTCCTTGTTGCTTGTTTCTTTTAAGTACAAGGCATTGTTAAGGGTGCCGTAAAGTTATTAATAGGAAAATTATAGCAAAATTGTGTTTTTGATATTAGCATATCATCTCACCAAATTTATTTCCAAATATTGATAACTAAATGAAGGCTCTGAATGGGAAATAGCCAGATTTTACACTGGATGAAGTGACATGTACTCATCTGACCATACAGATCATTGCCCAAATGCCAAGGAGAGCATTTTGCCTAAGATGGACTCAAGAATAATTATTTATGATGCCTTTTTCCAATAACAATAACAAAATAGCTATGTTCCTGTGAATTCCACAAAGATAATTGTATATGGGTTGATAGATCAATTTTTTTGAAATATAATGTTAATAGAATCAAAGTAGTCACACATGCAGTAATGATATTTAACATTTTATGGTGTGTTTTCCTCCTTCACATCTGCTATTTACTGAAAGGAAGCATTACGCTGGATGAGGTTCTGTGCCACTGCGTATGGGAAAATCTCATACAGTCTGCAGGGACAGACTCAATATTTTTTCCCCTCCTCTTGTGAACACTATTTACAGGGGCATCATATCTGGCCCAAATAAATAACTACGTAACATGCAATATAGTAGAAGAACCTGGATCCTGTAAATAGCATGTTGTTCCTGTCATCCCCTAAGGGGGAACTTCTGTGTGTCTGAAGTAGAACTGACTACTTCAGACATAAGTAGGTAATACTTATTAGATACCTAACCAGATCTTACTTTAAAAGAAAAAGCACTTTGCAAGGAGACCATCAATGATGAGTGTAATAGAATATCAGTGCAAGACAACATAATTTTGTATGCAATTTAATTTATCTTATGTGTGTCCTTTTAATTCAAGAATTCAAAATGCTTTTATTAACTGAGAAATAGTTAGAATAGATGATACACAGCAAAACAATTTCACAGTCTAAAGAAAAGACCAATTCTGAGCTTGTTTGTGTTATGCAGGTTCCACAAAGCCCAAATGCCCTTGCTGCAAGCAGCTGACCTTTAGGGAGCCTAGAGAAAATATTAGAACTTTTTTTCCTCCAGGGTACCTAAGAACAGTTGTCTCCACAATGATCCCTATACCCAAGTGATTGGTTGCTATCTGTGTTTTTTGGCTCATTCATCCATCCTTGGTACCCAACACTCAGCTCTTTCACTGCTTATTTCTGTCTTATATTCTTTTCATTAAGCCTTCTGATTATCTATTTTGCCCGGATACTTGGAGAATATACATGTTGTGTCAAAAGACTGGGAAGTAACCTTCCCATCTATGTTTCCAGCAATTGTGAAGTTTTCCAACAACACTTGCCTTTGAAGTTAGTTTTGCTTTCTTTGTAATAAAGTTGATCCTAGGCATTTGCGGGTCTGCAATTCTACATTTTTAAAGAATCAATGAACAGTCAGCATAAGAGCATCACAGAAAATAAGACTGCATTGCATTAGATTCCTTATATTAAATATTAATTAGAAAAAGATACATTCAATAAGTTACTTCATTTTCTCATTACAACTTTGTAGAGTTGTAGTTCTAGTTCTAGTTCTAGAGACCAAAGTAGTCTTGCAGATACCATGAGATTTGTAGGTTAGAAGTACAGTAAGGTAAAAAGTCATGGTCCATTGCCCCTTATTGCTACCCTGAATTATAAGTTCTAAAATAGTCACAGTATAATTGCTGCATATTTATTTGCACGCAGGAAAGAGAACTCCGAAAAGCTGGGTCCTTGAATAAAGGCAATAAGGAAAAGCACCTGCTCTTGAAACTTCAGACATTAAATCCGACCGGAATAAAACGAGGAAGTATCTGCAGGTGTAATGTAACCTGAAAACTGAATTCCCAGAATGCAAACGGAAGATGAACCAATGAACGGCTAGAAAAGCCAACGAGGCAGACTCAGCTATTGAGGAATCATGCCTTGGAAGAACCATCGACCCATCCAAGGCAACTTCATCCCATCTCCAGATTTACCCTTGGAGGAACAAGCCTCAGAAACCATTTGTACCGTAACGACAACAGCTTGACACCACCACCCCCGTTTCCGAAAAGAACTTCAAAACTGCGCAAAGATGCAACGGCGAAACTCAACAGGAAAGGCAACCACCGGAGCCGACCTCGTCGTTTTCTTTCCCCGAAGGTGTTCTGCGGTGGAAGCCGAAGCCCCAGATTCCATTTCAACCCTTCTTACATTTGGCGTCGGGATCCGAGCGTAGAGTATGAGAGGACCGCAAAGACACATCCAAACGAGAGTCGAGAACAACTAAAGGAAGAGCGACCTAAACTAATCAGAGTGGAGGAAGTTCCGAAAGACCAATGGAGCCGAGATTCAAATCGCCGAAAGCCCCATTTCCTCTCCTGTCCAATTCTAATCCTCCCCATTCTTTGGAGGCGCCCGAGGGGCTGCTAAACACGCTTTGCCCGGCCCCATCAGACGGCGCCCCTTCGACCAGTCGGCCCCTACCTTGGCCTCGAAGCCGATGCCATGCTGGAAGGCGTCGTCGTTATGCAGCGGGATGCGTAGGTCGTGTCTGTCATCCACTAGGTTGTATCGAGACCTGACCGAGGGAGAGGCTCCCACGGGCATGGCGAGGGAAAGCAAGCGGCTCCCCGGGCAAGCCGCGTAGGACCTGGCGAACCGCCCGCCAAGCTGGCGACGGACTGAAGGGCACGGCGGCCGTGGCGGCGGCAGCACTAGCCGCCTCCTCCGCCTGATCCCGAAGTGGGGCGGGACCTGGTTGGAGGCGGGATCTGGCCTTTCTCCCGGTGGTGTCCCAAGTACAGCGGGACACCACCACCACCCCCCAAGAAGAAAAGGCATGCGCCAAGCATTTCCCGGGGCATGCGCCAAGCCGGGCGACGGGAAAAAGCCGGGACCCGATAGCCTGGTGGGAGGGCTTTCTCCTTCCTGCGAAGCAGGCGGGGGCGGGACTGGAGAGGCGTCTGGTCGCCGCGCTCTCTGTGGCTAGCAGTCCACACGCCGTAAAAGTGCGGCCCTGAGATTCGCTGTTGGTTGCGGGAAACTATTGGGCGAATAAAAGAGCTCTGCTTGGAAGCATTTTTGTGGAAAGGGAGAAAAAAAGGAAAGAGTAAGTGCAAGAAGGTCGGCCCGAGCTATTCTTTTTTCAGCGTATTTATGTTGTTGTGAATTTAATAAGACAAACACAACTTTTGGGTTGATCAGAGAAGATTTTATATATTGCGCAATAGGTTCAAGGCTCTGTACATGAAGCGTTGAACAACGACAGGAATTAGGTACAATGGTTTTATACCCTTCTAGACAAAGGATTCTTTTGAAGTCAGCAGTTCATATGGTCCTATACATTTATCAATTTTAATTGACATTACAGAGTTTCTTTGCAAAACAGTCATAATTCTTTTTGTAGATTACTGAAGCATCTCTTTTATCTTTTGACGATGGACAACTTTTAACTCATGTGGATCCCCTTGACCTAACCAACCTTTAAGCTGTATGTCATTAGAATGTTCCTTTCTTCTGACAACTTAGAGGCCTCCTAGAGGAACCAAAAGGACCTTGGCTGAGTTTGTACTCTTTCCAGCCGGATGCATTTCTTTTTAGAATAGAGTGAATAGAAAGTTATCCAGTGGTCATCCATCAGAGCCCGCTTCATTACATTATTCCCCCCTCTGAAAGTTTTTCAATGCAGAAACTTTCACTATTCTCATATAAGTTTAACTTCTGAGTATACAAGATTCCAATAAACAAATCTACCATATATAGGGTCTAACAAAAGATAATTAATAAAAGTAAAGGATAGGTAGTTCTTGATTGTTTTTCTACTCTCTTGATTCTTGGGGAGATTCTCTACCCTTTTCTACAGGTTCCATTTCCTCATATGGGTCTACAGCAGGATCTGTAAGTCCTTCCATAGGGTAGGAACCAAGTTGATTAAGAAAATGTTCTATCAAAGCTAGTTCCTTTTCAACTTGAATCTCCTTTACTGTTCTTATTTATAGATGTTTCAGCATAGGGATTGCACAAGGAATAAAAGCTAGGCCTGCCACAGCCATATTAATTCACCCGGATCCAGACAACCAAGAAAACCACATGTCAGTTGTTTATAACCTCTGACCTATCTTGGAAGCCCTATCCTGCAATTCCTTGGCAATATCTCTGACCACACCTGATTTGTTACATGTTCCTGTCCAGTTTGTTGGTAAACACAAATATGCATCCTTTCCACATAAGAAGATTTATGGAAAAGGCATGCACTCAGTAGTTCCTTGCATTAGTCCAGACCCCTAAGTCCCTGCCACAAACATTCCTGCCAGTGGTTGCAATGGGACTTCCAGTGAGAGGTCCTTCTGTTTATCTCTGAGAATTGGTCCTTCAAAAAACATATCGAGAGGTAGTATTTCCAGGTGGGAAAAAGGATACACAAATCTAATTTGGACTTCAAGTTGAACCAGAGTGGAAGTTCTGAAGGTTGAAATGGTCTTGGACAGATTCCATCCATCCCACTTTCCCTTCTTAAAGTTTATTTCTGGTAGCCTTTGTTCTAACCCAGAGTTGTGGTTTGACAGGAACAGCATGATAAGATGTAGGGCTAGCAGATAAACATAAGCAGCATTTCTGACCTAGGGTAGGGTCATACTGATTAACAAGATCTTGACTTAATTCCAGAATTCGTGATATATAGTCTCCTCTATGCAATTGTTGTAGAGGCCCATTTTCCTTATCTATTCCCCCCTCAGCTGGGAATGTCAATAGTGCAACCTTAGGTGGTGGAGTTGACTTAGGTCTAAAGTAACGACCTCGTGTATATACAATGCGTTCTTGGCGTGAGTGAACTTGACCTAAAGTGTAGTCATCTATGGAATCAATGTTCATCTTATGTTCACTTGAGAGTCCTAGTGCGAATAATGTCCAAAGCCATAAGCAAATCATAATCAACTATGGTGTGAAGCTCACTACGTCAGGGAGAGGGTTAGTGGTGCATGTGATTTGGGAAACAGGAGTAGCAATAAAAATCCTAGGTCTACCACAAAAACGTTCCTTATATATGTAAAACAAAATTACTAGCAAGATTAGAACAACAAGTACCCACAAAACATACTCCCAAACTTCTAACAACATTAGCATGTGTAAGAAAGTGTTATATTAAAGCTAATAATATGTATATGTACAATGTGAAGGCAGTTGTCCTCTTTACAAATCTTCCGCCGTGCGTAGAGAATCAGCTTCCGGAGTGATTCAGCAAGGCTGATGGTCACCTGGTATCAGTCTCATCCAGTGGATCCAGGATTGTCCTCCTAAAATCTTAAAAATACAATTACAAAACCAATACATCTGGGCGAGTGCGCAAAGGAATCTGAGCAGTTGTAGTCCTTTTCAGTGGGGAAACAGCATAGGCAACCACTGAATCCTAAGAAAGAAAAAAATACAAAAATAGTCCAGATGATGAAGAATGCTATTCCCACTGGTGGCTGGATCCTTTGGATCATCAACTTCACTGGATTTCCTTGATGAGATTGAGCCCGTTCACTTGGGGTCTAACTTCCGTCCAGTTTGGATTAACATGCAATCATCGTGGTGGAATTTGTGGACTGGAAACTTCAAGGGTGGTGTTTGGGCTAATAGTCCTTGTTTCCTAAAAACTTCAAAATATCTGGACAGGTTATACACATATTGTTTCAATACTTTGTCTCTGGTTTCCAAGGAAGTAATGCATATGCTTCCTGTAGTGAAAACTACTTCAAACAACAGTTGATATGATGATAATCTGTCTAGGTTGGGTAAAATTCTTGACACCACTGTTGCTGTAGCATTACTGCAGATAAAAGCTGCAACCCACCCTGTGAGGTGGTTCACTATGACTAATAAATATTTTACACTCCCCACTTTTGGTAATCCTGTAAAATCCACATGAATACATTGAAATGGTCTTAAAGCTGGTGATACATCTTACACATCTGTTGTTTTCTGACAGCATGTTCATTCACCTTTTTACAAACCAAACATTTGTTTATAATTGATGTTACTAAAGGATATATCCCAATACAATCATAGCTTAGTTTAAAAGTTCATGTACAATAGCTTGAAGTCCCCAATGACTCCACCCATATTTTGCCAAATGATGTCCAGAGACTAAGGGTTACAATGCATTAAGCAATAGCCATCATAAAGTCAGCTTATTGCCCCCCACAAACTGGGTCCTCAATTCACCTACCTTAGAAAGGATGGAAGGCTGAGTCAACCTTGAGCCTGGTGAGATTCGAATTTACAGTAATTGCAGACAGCTGGTGTTAAATTACAATGCATTTATCCACTGAGCTATCCAGGCTCCCTGTCCATAGAGCTTAATTTAATGAATACAATTCAAAGGTTTGAGCAGACCAATTTCGAGGCAATTTGTTTCCAGGGGATGTCCCTCCAAATCAGGTCTTGTTGTTGTATGTAAGCCAATTATTTCAACACCATAATGTTCTCATCCAAGGTGATCCATTGATCTGGTGTTGGTTAAGAACTGTGCTTGATTCAAATTGAGAACTGCAGGTAAAATCAAATCTGTGTTGCATTAAAATTGTTTTATTTTTGTTTAGAATCTTGAATCAGATAACCACCACTGAAGGATAGTTCTGACTTGATGTGGGGTGCTTACAATGAGGGCTTCCCCAAAGGTCAATTTCCTACTTTCTGAGCCAACACCCCTCGTGCAATTCAATGTGTGTGTGTGTGTGTGTGTGTGTGTGTGTGTGTGTGTGTACAAAGAGACCGAATGGCTTTTCCAAATTTGGCAAACCAATACAGGAGCCCTGGTTAAAGCCTGTTTCAAATTTTCAAGGCTTCCTCTTTCATGTCCCTCCCATTTCAAACTCCAAGATCCAGATTCAATTAATTTTGCATAGAATTGTCTTAATTCTTGCTTGTTTATAGATGGAGGCGGAGACGCTACCCCTCCTTTCTATCAGGAGTGATTTTTTTTTTCTGTGGGGGGGGGGGAAGTCTTTCCCTTTAAAGATTGCTGAAAGGCAGAGCTTTCCCCGTCCTGAATTCAAAACTCCTGGAATCAGTTTTATTGTTCCTAGTAAGGCAAGCAAGAAACAAACACATCTTTTATTCTTCCTTTTGTTGTGGAAATAAGGTGGCGTCTCAGTTTCTTAATGGCCCATTGGTAAAGGTGGGGGCTGAACTCCGCCTGAGTTTCTGCTTATTTTCTTTAGGGGAATTTTCTTGTGCTTTTAATATTGAGCTTCTCAAATCTTCCAACACTCCCTTCACTGATTAAGTGTATTCAAATGCTTTGTTCACTTAATCTGATCTCTGTCAACAAAAAACACCACTTCTCTTTTCTTTGGATTGGGCAATCTTTAACGCTGTCTTCCCTGCCCAGATCACCACTTCTCTCCTACTTCTTAGCACTTCCACATTTCAATCTGCCAACTTCCATAACTTTCCAAAAACAAATCACATACCTTCTCCTTTCCATCAATTCTACTTTCTCTAACTCCTTCTTATTATAACATTCAATTCCTCCTACCACTGCCATCCTGATTTCCAAGCCAGCACAAGTCTGTGTAGACAAACTTAAAGGCAACTTTCTGACTTCCCTTAAAACTTCCTCTCTTCCTTCAACTACCGTATATCCCTCTATAAACAAATTAGCTCCTCAGCACCAATTATCTAATCTCCTTGTAAACTGAAGTGAACAAAAACAAGCATACTCTCGAGGCAGAATCCAACATTTTAGACAAAAATGCCACTGAATCTCTCCCACCACACATCGCAATTTCCAACTCATCTCTGTGACAATTCCCAAAAAGGGCAGTAACTTGTGCTACTAGCAAACAAACAAATAAACAACAAACAAACATACAAACGAACAAACGTGCCATCTGTTAAGGATGCAGAATGCACGCAGACATAAAAAACATTTAA